CCCAGCAGGGTCCTTCACCCTCTGGCGAATACGAAGTCACTGCCATATTATTAGGACAGAAAATGAACTATATTCCCAGTTTTCTGCATAGTCTACAGCCAAGGCAAATGTCAACCCTCTCGGGTCGTACGCTGATTTGTAGTTCATGACACTCGACGTCAAATCCATCCCCTTTGAACCGGTGGGCTGGGGGTTTGATACTATCGGTACAGTCACACCCGGAATTGGCGCTGTCTCGCACACAGTGGCTTCCATCTGGTCTTTATTCTGTAATGTACCTTCCCATACATAATGGTCGGGCTACTGGAGCAGAAATGTGGGGAAGACACTAGGACCTATCTATCAATATCACCTTGAGCGGCGTTAGAATAATTCAAAGACACTGATAGAGTGGTAGTGATAGAAACTGATGAAGTGTAATCCCAGAGAGTAATATACGCCACTTGTGTTCCTTCCGAGTTCGTGAGAATCGCCGTATATTCATCAGGGAATTTCGTGGAAGTCGTGGTTGTATTATACACTGTATTGATGACTGTCACTATTGTCGACGTCATTGTCGTAGTTTCGAGCTCAAAGCCCCAGGGGAAATTATGTATATTCGCAAGGTCAGTCCGGCCAAAGAAGGTCGGCTCGTCGTTGATTCTGCAGTTCGACTCGCCATCGCAAATCGAGTTTGAAGTAGAAATTTTGGACGCTGCTGTTTGAATAAATGTTAACAAGAAAGGTGTGTGGTAATTACAATAACGTCTTACCATGAGTTGTGCTTATTACAACCTGAACGGCTACAAGAAAAGGAAAGATATGCTTTGAAGTAGGCATGGTTTCAAGATTAGAGTCGGTTTGCTAGCTCGAAAATACAGCAACAACCTATGTCACTTAGCCTTTAGTGATGGTGGTTGTAGCATTATTATACACCACATTGATAGAGCCATGTGGGTTCTTACAAGGCTCTGATTATTACCTGTGAAAAGTTAGATGCCCCATGGCTTACAAACGGCCTTTTTGCTGAGCGAAGAGGTGTATGTGATGGGTAACAAGGCTCGCCACCGATGCAACCATCATCCTCTAATAGCCATTTTCAAGCAGCGTTGCGCAAGATTTCAAAGACCATTAGGTATGACAAACGTAGTTCTAGCCTGGAAATTCACGCCATCGGTTGGTTCTTTGAGCAATATTTCTCTAAACAGGAGCAACACAGGGGATGGCTACATGAGCATGACGCTAAAAGGTACCATGCAGAAGAGCTGGCATGACACCGTAGGCAGCCTTGCGAGAGGATAAATTTGACACTGAAATAGGGTAGCAGTAGGTACTGCTGCCCGATCTCAAAGAAGCTTGTAGCACACCCAAAACAAAGCATCTGCGATGTCGGAGAATACTGAGATTGCTATGGCGCAACAATCTTCAAATAGAAAGGAATAGCTAAGTGAAGTAAATAAAAGTAAAGAAGTATTAGAAATGAAGTCAGTCGATAACTTTGCAAGGGTAAGAGCACGCTCCTCGAACTTAGCACTCGTAATTCTCGTAGGCTGAAGCTGAAACACTTTAAAGAATCCCTAAACGTTAGACAACGTCAAGAGCTGTAACCTTTCATAACTAATACATATCTTCTATTTCGAAGCCCTAGCTTCACTATGCGTGACTGGAATATAGGTCCGGTCTAGTCTGACGACCGGTGAAGTTCCTAAATATCCTTCGTGCATATTGCTATATAGCAAACAATAATGTCCAATTCGGAGGACAGAAAGTAGCACGTTGGAACAAAAATATGGCATCGTAAGATTAACACATCTATCTCCAGCTTGCAATTCAAAAGTAACATATCAGCTATTCACTTCTTCGTATGAGGACAGACTTCAGCTCTGCGACATCTTTCTTACATCAAATGGTACAGGCAAGCTAAGAGACATCAGTTTGACCGCCTACAGTAGGCGCAAAACAACTTATCCGAGCTTTGCTTGTCACCATGAGCAGGGTTTTATTCTGGACTGCTATTTACGATAATTGGGAAGTTATGGTCAAGCCACTCGTTATCTAGCTGACCTGTAACAACAAGAGCGTGAGACTACTGAACGCAGCCATTCTAAGAATTAATACTTCCCCCACCGTTCAGAACTGCACACCGGTGCAAAGAGCCCCGTCTACATTGAGGTTTTGTCCACTGATAAAGCTTGCTTTTTCGCTCGCAAGGAACACGACAGCATTTGCAATCTCCTCTGGGCGGGCCATACGCCCCATCGGATTGAGCTTCAGCTGTGAATTGTACAAGTCTGGGTTGTCCCTCTCCGCTCCAGCCCAAAAGCCATCCGCGACATAGGTATTTCCAGGGGATACTGTATTAGCTCTCACGCCTTTCGGAGCTAGAGTGTGAGCTAACTGTGCTATGTAATGGATTACTGATGCTTTCATTGCCGCATATGGAGACGGCGCGCAAAAGTCGATGTCACGGCCACTGACGGAGGCAATGGCAACAATGTTGCCCTTCGTTTTTTCGAGGTGTGCCATTGCAAGATCAATCAGATGAAACGTGCCCATCACGTCAGTGTTGAAAGTTTTATGCCAGTTCTCTGATGTGTTGGGTATTGCCAGCGCGGATACATTGGCCACAACGGCATCAATTCGGCCGCTTTGTCCTGTGCAACTGCTAACCCATGAGGACAGTTCATCCGGCTTGGAAATATCAACTGTTGCACCATAAACCTTAGATGAGGGAAAGTCGGCAGCTAGTTGCTTCTCGACGCTTTCGACATCACCCGCTGTTCTAGCACAGAAGTGCACAAAGGCCCCTTCTTCCAAAAAGGATCTTACGATAGAGCGCCCGATGCCTTTCGTCCCACCTTATCGCGATCAGATGTGCAGATATGAATACAAAAACGTAAGAGGCTCACCGGTGACCAAAACCACCCTACCAGTTAACCCTAGATGCATTCTCACTTAGTGTAAGCAACAAACTCTCACAGTCTCAAGTTCACGAGTCGAGTAATGTCAGTCAATCGTGAACCCGCGCAGTACTTAGGACGATATTATCAGCCACCTTTCGGGGCAACCCAATTTTCTTATCAGTCACGTTTTCCAGGAGGCTACAGCTCTTCACGTCATTGGTGGCACGACCTCCTCCCCGCTCCTTATCTGATTCAATTTCGCGGGGCTCCCAGTGGCGGAAGATTCATGAGGCTTGAGCCTAGATGCTCAAGTTGAAGGTTTATCGCTCTTTCTTGTAGTAGAATAGAGGCCATAGATACTGCTACTCTGGCTCGGAACGTAATTCAGTACTTTCCAAACCAGCACATCTAGTTCTGTAGACATCCCATCTATAGTTGCATTAACAGTCCAAACAGAATAGGCCTAGGTTGAATCCAACAAGCTCTTTTCGAGTCGTCCGTGCCAATCAATCTATCGCATGACTAATTCTCTATCATTTTCATGGGACGGATCTGGCAGAGGTCTGTCTATCTAGATCATTTCTGTATTACAGGGAGTTTGCATGCGGCTATCCGATTGACTTACGCTTGTATGGCTTAGATTTACGAGGTATGAGCTACGGTACCAACCACGCACTGTCAGCAACACATAAGCCCTTAGACCGTGCTGTGGGGTTCAAGATAATCCATTAAATAGGTTGCTTCAGTCAGCCTTTAGGATTGCGCAACTGAAATGAAACCTTCTGCTATCTTTGTCATATATTTCGGGGCTGATCATCAGCTCCGTCAACGACGTATACTCATATCTCGCCTATGTAACCCAATAACTTCAACACATTTACATGAACAATGAGCCTGAAACACTTTTCGGGGCCATGGGAGAGGGTTCCTCCGACACCTAAGCTACCACAATGGAATCACGCAGAAGGGGTATGGATCAACAACATTTGTCTGTGGTACGCAGAGTATGGCATCTCTCTAGGAAAGTCATCACATCCACCAGTGGTGTTTCTGCATGGAGGGCATATCAGTTCAAGGTGGTGGGGTCGGCAAATCGAGTTCATGATAAATCTTCCTTACACGAGTCTTGTGGTAGATACCAGGGGTCACGGTCGATCGACCGACGACATCACCACGCCCTTAACTTATAAGATAATGGCCGATGACCTTTTGGCACTCATGGATCTTCTCCATATTCCCAGGGTCAGCCTCGTTGGCTGGTCTGATGGGGCAAACAGCTCTCTCGAAATGGCAATGAACTACCCTTCCAGGGTCGATCGTCTATTTTGTTTTGGAGCAAATTCAAATCCTGACCAATTTGACATTATGAGCGCAGCAAACTCTTTGACTTTCCCAGAAGTTGGATCACGATATGAGTCGGAGTATAATGAAATCAATCCGTCGCCGAACTACGGACAGCTCTCAGAACGGATTGCTGATCTCCAATCAACTCATCCCCATTGGACCAGAGAATCATTCTCTGCCATTCCAACCCCTTATTCAAATAACGACTGGCCTCTAGTATGGATATCATCTGGGGATCGTGAAGAAGCGATTAAAAGACATATACCACGTCTCATCAGTGATATGGTATGTAAACAAATTTCTAGATTTGGACCTTTCCACTCATTACTATAGATTCCCAATTCCGGACTAATCATTCTACCTCGGGTTAGCCATTTTGGGTATGTGTGATCTCTGCGGTTGATATAGAATTCATTGACGTTCTTTACAGCCCTCTGCAAGATCCTGATACCTTCAACGTCATGTTAAAATTATTCTTACAACAAGCAAAGGAATCGATGTAGACAAAGCCTGCATAATCAGCCATTCGCGAGCAACGATAAGCACGTGTCCGCTACAGCTGCAGAACTGCTAGTTCATAAGTTCTAGCCTCGATGAGAACTTATAAACAAAGCTGAAGTCATCAGAATAGATTCGCAACGGTCATATTATTTGAAGAATAACAATTATTAGTGAAGCGGTGTCTAATATAAGTAGCATTGCTCGAATACCCATTTGCCATTCTACCCCTCTGTATTTTCTAGATCAAGATGTGGTGTGATGGATTTTCAACTCTCAGAGCTTGAAACCACTTGTGTCAATAGCAACAACCTTCCCTCCCTCTGTTATAGTGCCATTGACTGGAGCTCCCTCGGCCCCGCTTGTCGAAACGTACAGGACCTTTTTATCGGCCTTCAGGCGACCAAATGCTGCAGCTGTGTCTCCAGCTACTGTGAGTTCGGTCAGAGAACCTTCGACAACTACATTCTCTCCAAACGGTTTGATTGCCAACACACGATTGTCCAAATTGGTCGCCGCCCAAATTACACCAGTTGAATCGATGGTGAAGTCATCTATGAAAGCTGCGTCCACAACAGCCACAGGCTCCACCTTTGCGCCTTTGGCAGCATACCCCTTAGCATCGAGTTTCAGTCGGTAAATGGTAGCCTCAAAGCTATTCGCCCAGTATAGATACCCGTGGAAGACCTTGATTCCGTTGATGCCGATTTGTAGGGCAGAGTTAGCCGGAATAGCCATTTCTGGTACTTTAGCGGAGATGTCATATTTGCCGGTTCTGGTATTCAAACGCCAGACAAGACCCTCAGTTGAATCTGAGATCAGAACGACGTCTTGACATTCTGAGAAGACATCCACGCCGTTAGGGAAAGTTGCCTCGGGTATGGCGGTAATCAATTGGATGACCGGCTTGCCATGCTGAAAGTTGACGCTCCATGCTGAGAAAGTGCCAGCGACAGGAACTCCAACTTGAGATGAAGTACCCCCCACAACGACGAACTGGTCATGCTTCACTTCGGTCAGTCCCAGGAGGCCATTAATGCTGTCGAAAGTGTGGATAAGAGCTATCCTTGGTGTCGAACTTGTTGGATTTGAGATGGAATAAAGAGAGGCAGATGGGCTCAAAATAGTAACTAGAAGGTCGCCGTTCCCACGGACAGCGATGTTCTCCACCCATGTGCCGTTTGGAAATTGCGTTACCAGATGATGTGGAAGTGGTAAGGTCACAGCTTTCTGTCGTTCGGGTACTGGAGATGCCGCAGTCAAGGGAACCAAAAGCCCAAGAAAGCTCAGGACATAGCTCATAGAGGAGATAATTCTGCCTTGGAAGTGCATGTTTCCCAGTTCTTGAGAATCGTTAAGTGTCGGTGGACAATGAGGCATAACCACCCTTGATTGTGACCATGAGCAACTTTATATATTGGAGACTGAGAACGGAGGCTTACTCAATCATTCGCATTAGCTTCAAGCATTTTCACTATGTTCATGGATTTTACAAATGCTATACGAGCAGATGCATTGTTCATGTTGTTGGCAACGCACAAGTTGCTCGGCGTTAAGCGTTCAACAAATTGCAAACGTCCGCAGCTATGGTGCGCTGCCGGGAATTAGTAAGAGGCTCAGCACGCTTCTAAGCTATGCCATGTCCCATTGATCAAATAACCTGTGTAACCTGTGTCCAATGGCAAAGAAGGGAACGCGGTGTCACCACTGCGGGAACCAGCAATTAGGGTGCGACAACCTAGCAGTAGCAGCAGCGCGCCGTAGACTAGAGTACATTAAGTGAATTTTCACGCGCTTGTTTAACAAGGTTATTTGCATCATCTATCGCCGAAGGTGCTTATGGCTCGTGAATATTGCGCAAATATCGCCTGCAAAAAGGGTTTAAATCCGTCCAAGAACAGTAAATTCCGCACGAACTCAGTGTGTACCAGCACCCCGCTGAGTAATGACGAAGTGACCAATCAGTGCTACCTACTGAGGTATGGCGTTTCTACCTAATGCGGAGTAAATATGCTAGCCACCGAACAAATTACCTGAGGTAGATTAGCGCCTTCGCTGAATTGTACACTTAATGAACTCAAGCACAACACAAATGCACAATTCTCACAAAGCAGCTTTCCCTTCCTCCCAAGAGTTGAAGGAAGCATTGTAATTTCCATTCGTTGCCTTATGATGGATTTCAGATTTTCTACCAATGTGCTAGTAGCACGAGTACTCTATTACCCGCACTATTAGTCAGTTCTCGACTACTAACGTACATTCTATTTCTCAATATGTGCCTGGCTTGACTGCGGCCTGACCACCGTCAAGAACAACTACAGTACTATTCACATATGATCCAGCTTTTGAACACAGATATAGTACGGTACCGCCAATATCCTAGTTCGTCCTGTCATGTTAGCTTCCAAAGACACGGATGCCCTTTGTTGCAAGACTGACCTCTGGAGACCCGCTTCTCGTAGCAGGAAATATCTCCTTTGGCATGCTGCCAGGACTTCTCGTTGTCTCATCAAACCAAGCATTTGTCATCTCAGTGATGAAGAGACCTGGCACGATACAGTTCGCTCGAATGCCATACGGCGCGAAGCCTGTACTAAGATTCTTTGTTAGGTGAAGTAACCCAGCTTTGGAGCTAGCATAAAGATAGTTGGGAGCTGGGCGCCGGGTAATTGCTGCTTCGCTGCTTATGATCAAGAATTGGCTCTGAATATGATCTAGCTTTCCGGGACTTGAAGCTTGGGTGTTGCCAGCGTCAAGGAGACGCAGAAAGGCAATCAGAGAGTAGTAGACACTGACGAGGTTCATATCTACCACCGCCATACTGTCAGATCTCTCCAAATTCCAGAGTTGATCGTAAACTTCATCAATCGATTCTTTCCCAGATACGGATGGAAGCGTTGTCACATGGCCCAAGAGACCGGCGTTGGCTATCACAGCGTTGACAAAAGGCGATTGAGCTTCAACCTCGGCGACAGCTGAAGCTAGCGAATCCATGGAAGTAATATCACACTGAATCGGAACAATGCTTCTGTTCACCTATCAATGTTTAGCAATCCTAAGCAGGATGCGCTATCGCGTATGCCTCTCGACGTGTCAAATAGATAAATCAAATGCACTTACTGCATTTGATGCGACATCTCGCAGTAATTCCAAACGCCGACCAAGAATGAACACTTTTGCTGCTCCGTTCGCATCTAGTGCTTCTGCCATCCATTTGCCTAAGCCTGATCCACCGCCAGTAACGACGAACACCATGTCTTGGACCGAGAAAAGCTTGGCTGCATTGAAAGTTGACATGATGAACTTCGCTCTCCAAATCGCGTAGTTTGATACATAATTGCCATTATCAAGCGACCCAGGCTTCAATTTATACATTTGTTGCGTGTAGGGCCAATATTTTCACGACAGTTCTCGAAGACCTCACGATTTCTCATCTTGTCTCGTATAGCATTAATAATACTGCAAAAGAACATCGGTTCTTCATTGGACGACCTCGCAATCTTCTGTACTCTCCGGTGTTGGATTATCCAATTCACCTCCGTGGAGTTGCAGCGCTGATGAGCCGTAATTATTTGACTGAAAACACAGAGAACACCTTTTGATTGATGAAGTAAGCTCGCTCGGCGGAAGCCGGATTTACAAACACTCACCGGAGATATCTATCTCGCTACCAATCCTAGAAATGTGCCATCATTTATATAGAGTAAGTTGGTCACATTAAGATTTGGACTTCTGGCCGATTAATTTCAGACAGTGATAGAAATAGTCAACTTCTCGATAATCCAGTAAGGCGTCAAATGTGGGGCCATATGCCATGGCAATAATAGAGATTAAATTTCCCATGATACTTTTTATCACAGCGCGGTACTTTTCAGGACATTGCAGCAGTCCCAGCTGCTGACAGCCTAGAGTACGATGATCAGCGGTTCAAGATCCAGGTGCACCAAATGAAGCCTTCAAGACGCCCAAAGTGAGATTACTAGTTGATCTAAGGAATATCAAGATAGTCCGAGGAGAGTTCGGAAAAGTGGTAAAGATGTCAGCCCTTGGTGCGTGCGCTTGACATAGATATCATCCCTCAGCCACCGTAAAGTACGTTCGTTTCGCTCTGAGGAACAAGTCAACGTGTCGCACGTCCTGAATCCTGAGCCCCTGGCAGTAGTAATGACAGTAGAGAATTGTATTATAGACCAAGATTAGGACTGGTCTAAATAATTAGCCTAACCTACAAGTTAACGAATCAGCAGGATTGCAAGCTTTTTGCTCGCTTAAGCTGACAAAAACCAACTCTGCGGCACACCACTGGGACACCCTTCCAATCATCAGTGGTTCCATCCTCCCGGGTTGTCAGTGGACCCAGCAGCCCGGATTCGTATGGAAAGGGACATCTGATGATTCATCGGTGTCGTGTTACTCAAGCGGAGAGGCGTCTGATGACTCCTTGTGGCGCTCGCACAAGACATTCACCAGTCCTCGGCCAAATGGAGCACTTAGGAGCCTCAACGGGTCTTATTACCCAGACCTAATAGCAAAGACAAAAGACAAAAATACCAGCCAAGAAAGTCAAGCACCCACTTCGTTCCCATGTTCTTCTCTTGACTGACTGGCTGTCAAAACGGAATGATAGGCCAGAATGGTCCAGACCTCTCGTGCCCAAGCCGCCTTCTGGGGCAGTCCAGACTAAGCCGAAATTCCATGACTGTGTCATACGAAGTAATGGTTAGCAATTCAACGAGTGCCTCATCCAGCCCAGTACTTGACCACTAGCGATAGCCATTTTAGCTCGCAGAGAGTAGCTATTACCGCCAGCGCGTCCCCATGGGGTCCCCGCGTTCTTAAAAGCTCCACCGCTCTCGGAAAACATCTCCCGCCACCACTCTAATATTCTAGATCAATGTTCAAAGCGAAACCTAGTGCAAGCATCATGTTGGAAAACTTCACGCGCATGGTTACAATAAGATGGCAGGTCTCGCTTGAAGATGCGTCGGGGACTCTTGGTTCAACTTCGGAGAGGTGGTAATCTTTCCTTATTCTGATAGGCATCAGAGTATTTACTTTTGAAGACCAAGTGCTAGTTGATTAGCGACGCACAATATGGATGCAACTAAAGACCATGGTATCCTGGAGAAGACAGGTGCGGAGCATGCTGACTCTGCCGACGACTCTGCCAGCGCTCATTTTGAGGTCGACGAACATGCCCTTCCACCAGGTTACTTCCGGAGTCGGTTCTTTATTGGATCTATGACAGGTATTGGGCTTGGCTTAATGGCAGGTGTCGCTGGTTTTGCATATGCAGCTCCAATCTTATCCATCATCAACGCTGATATCGGTCCTGTATGTCACTTGTTCATCCAATTACAACGTCCTCAAATGACCCTCGCTAACATCTGCCATAGGATCCGAATATTGTATGGGTTGCACTAGCATATACCCTGACGAGTGCCGTCACTCTCACAATCATTGGTCGAGTAACAGACATATTCGGACGACGCTGGATTTTTGTTGGCGGAGCTGCTCTTGGAGTCATCGGTAGCATCATCTGTGCTGTTGCGACAAATGTCCCGATGTTGATTGCGGGTACAACGATTATAGGCATTGCCGCTGCCACTCAATTGTCATATTACTACGTGATGGGCGAATTGGTGCCGATGAAGTACAGACTCGCTGGCAATGCATTCTGCTACATCTTTACAATTCCAGGCTCGGGTGTCGCTCCGCCCGTTGCTCATGCCCTCCTTCTACACAGTCCCAACGTAGGCTGGAGAGGCTGCTACTATATCCTGATTGGAATCAACGGTGCCAGTTTCTTATGCTGGTTTTTCTTTTATCACCCTCCTACATTCCGAATGAAGCATGGCAACAACGCAAGCCTTATGCGATACATCAAGGACTTTGACTACATCGGAACGCTGCTATATACTGGCGGTCTTCTGATCCTCATTATGGGCTTGAATTGGGGAGGATCAGTCTATGCATGGAAATCTGCTCATGTCATCGCCACGATTGTCGCTGGATTTGTTGGCCTGGTGCTCTTTGTACTGTGGGAGTGCTTTGTCAACCTTAAGGAGCCTCTCGTTCCTATGCGATATTTCCGCAACCGTGGCTGGGATGCCTCAGTCATTCTTTCAGGTCTTGGTGCCTCTGTCTATTATGCATTCGCCATTGTCTGGCCTAGCATGGTTTCAGTTATGTATGGCAAAACAGATGATCCTATGTACGGGGCTTGGCTATCAGCATTTGTCGGATTGTTTATTATCATGGGACAAATTGTAGGTGGATTCTTGGGCAAGTCGATTGGGTATCTCAAATGGCAGTGCGTGGTCGGTATCATCATTGGTGCGGTCTGCTTCGGATCTGTCGCAACTTGCACTCCGGATACTCGGGCGCGGGCTAGTGCTCTAGTGTCTATCGGCGTTTTCTCCATCGGATGGACTGAGGGCCTTGCCATCACTATTGTTACCCTATCGGCATCCGAGCAAGAGCATCTTGGCAGCGCGAGCGGTGTTGCTGGCTCGATTCGATTTTTCATTTGCAGTATCGCCTCGACTATCTATACTGCCATCCTAACAAATCGACTTGCACAGACTATAGCATCGATGGTCCCGCCTAAAGTCATTCAAGCAGGGCTTCCTTCATCCAGCGTGGAGCAGTTCATTGCAGCATTCTCGGTTGGATCCTCCGCCTTTGAAGCTATTCCAGGAATTACGCCGGAAATTCTGGCGATAGGGACAAGAGCATATCAAGAAGCAAACGCTGCCGCATACCGAACAGTGTTTTTGTCAACTATAGCATTTTCAGGAGTGGCAATCATTGCAGCACTGCTGCTTCCAAATGTTGACAGGCTCCTGACTGGCAGGGTGGCTGCCACTTTGCATAAGGGAAGAGATGAGAAACACATTGCGGGAGAGTAACTGTGGCTTTTGGATTTGTAACAAATCATCATGCACGGCTGTTGAATAGGTTGTAATTCTCGATATAACTGAAGTATTCAACCATTTTATATCATTTAAAACATCGAAGTGATCTGGAGAATGCCTGTCCTGGTGGAAAGCTGGCTGGCATGAAACCACTATGGATAAGCGGAGTTCTTGAGAATGAAGGAATTCGTCACCATTGTCCGCCATATTCGTCGTTCACGAAACCTCTTGGGGTGACGACACCCTCAATTCAAGGCTAGACGAAATGAAGAAGGAATGTTACTTCAGTTGGGCTGTATGCAAGATCTAATGTGCAAGTCACACAGGTCTAGAGGTAAGCACATTGAAGGCTGTAACCGCAAATTACATGTTTTACACCTCACATAAGTGCAGTGATGAAGCAGCTTAGCCAGATTTGAAGATCCTCTTGACAAGAGTTTTTGATCTAAAGGCTTGTCGAATGGAGTGTGAGCAAGCACAATGGGTCGTAGGCACCATTCAGGCAGTGGTTATATAACGTCTGTTCGTGGACGGACATACATAGCGCTGATCTTCATCGTTATTTTCGGCTTCTTCCCGCGACTCAGACTTAGACTCGCAAGATGAGGCAACCTTTAGGTCTCCGGTTCCGGGCGTTTCGAAGTGGCGGTGGACACTTGAGTGTGTCTCGCTAAAGACGTTTCTGGTCTAGGTAGAGCACAGAGGCTGACCGCTTTATGCCAACAAAACAGCACATGTTCTAGGAAGGTGATGTGTCTCGCCAAATCGGTCAACTTGCATCCCGTCATCAACGATCTCCATTAGATACATCAGGGAAACCACGACTGCGGAGACTGCGAAGTACCATGCGCCATCATGAGCCGCAATGGTCTGCGGGATATTCAGCCCTAAAAGTCAGGATCTGTGTATTTCTGAATTGGCATGTTCTTAAACAACACTCTCAAGTCAAAGGCTATCAAGATCTAGACCAATGACGTCCGTATCCGATGGAAATCTCTCACTTGGTCGACCCCCTTCCCTTTGTTCTTGCGTCTTGGTGCACTTCACATCTTCGAGAACACACCGCTTTACCGCAACGCAGTAGGATATGTCTGCTACCTCACAGCCTCCTCGAGGATGCCTAATAGCGAATGGCCATTTCATCTCTGGAGCCAGTTCAACGTGTCTTTCTGCAGCACTTCTTATCGGGACTTGTCCATATGTATATAACTCACGATTCCCGCTTCATTTGTGGGAGTTTCTTGGTTGAATAAATTCCAATGATTACAATCATTCGCATCTTCGCGCGTTCCAACATCCATATCTTCGTTTCATTCATTAATATACTTGGGTATTAAAAAGCTAGATACACGTGAAGAAGACAGATTTTTCTGTTGTTGATCGATCCAAGCAACCTTGCATCATCCGTGCCGGCTTTTGTAAGTGTACCCTGTTGCATTGCATACGGAATGCTTCCCGGTCCCTTTACCACATGGCAGAAAAACTAACTTCATGCAGTGCGCTTGTCAAATGTCTCCACAGTCCACGAAAACGATCACTCACGCCTCGAAACCATCTACCGTTTCTTCAACAATCTCGGGTGCCACTTCTTCTCGAAGTTCTGACGGAGAACTGGGCGTTCAATTGCACGGATACCTCGTGCAGCCGTGTTTAGACGACGGGACTGTCTACGGTCGTCTACACAGTCTTCCTCCTAGCACCACATCGGCTGAACGAGTCGCCTTTTACAAAGCAAAAGCGCAAGAGCTTGTCATTTGCTCTTCAAGCGGCCGACCATAGCGTCGGTTGCGCCAAAGCTTCCAACCACATTCTTTGAATCTGACTGTCCTCGACGCTCAAGTGACTGAGCTTATAAACCCACCTACAGTATGTACCATCTCAATACGTTTCTCTTGATGTAAGTGCCATGTTATGCTGGATAATCCAGCATGTATCATCGGCACTTTCTCGATGGGTCTTCCAACAGCTGGTTACCCTGGCAAGTGCCGCGCAGGGTTCTGCTACAGGTCATTGCTCCAATAATTGCCGTGCATTTGACCAAAGACCTTCTAGGTCCTCGGCAGCTAACGCAAAGACCATGCAAGAGATGCAGGTTTCTTTTCTTTTTTCTTCACCCGGAGATCGATCTTGCAACTAAAATTCACATAGGTCTTGTACGGACATTGCCTACCAAAACTTCCCATCCGCTCTTATCAGGTTTCAGCGTCGGCTTCAACATCGACCGATATCCTGGCCGATGAAATACCTCTATACCCTATTTGTTCACTCCCCTCCGTCACTGTTTTCCAATGGCGACCATCAATCAAGTGCTTCTACATGATGCCGATTCATCAAGCTGCAGGGTTGGCTCAAAGTGTCGCATGCCGTAATATGTAGTGGAGTCAGCGCTCGGTGCTCTGCTTAGCTCCCGAGGCGGGCCGGTCCACCGGCTCGTTGGTGGAACTCTGGGTGCACTGACAGTGATTCCTAGCCCCGCCTCCATACCACCTTTCAGCATTTCACTCATTAATAATTGTTCTATTTTTCAGTGGATGGGAAGAACCGTAGAGTCGTGATAACAATATGTCTGTTGTTCATATATACAGCGGATCTTGTCCGCCTAATCCAGTTATTATTATCTCCAAAACGCCGTCGCCCGAGTTGGTCTGACTTTTGTTAAGGCCACGTTCCTTCGCAGCAGAATCCCGTACACGCCACTGCAACGCCAAAATAAAAACAGCAAATCTGTGTAAGAATAGGGTATCCATAGCTGATCATGACACTTTGCGTACCCCGGGTATCAATTTACCATTATCTCATTCGAACCATTCAAATATTTCCGTTTTGTTTGGGCTTTGCATGCGGCAAGCACCACTCATCTAGGAGGCTTGGATGTGGGACGATCCCGAATCCGAATTCGTCACTTCTTTTCCCACTCAGCAGGCTCATGCATGCTTCAAGCCTGCCATATTGAGCGAGGTTGTTCTTAGCACTGATGAGATGATGGTCAATGAGATCGATAATGCCGCGTCCGTCCGCATCCCGTACGTGCACATTCGCCCCTCTTTCAAGCAATTTAGTAAGGGCGGTCTTCCGTCCAAGTCTCGCCGAGACAAGAAGAGCTGTTTCTCCGTGTTGGTTTCGGGCATTAATACTTGCACCTGCGTTCAGCAGAGCATTGAAGATCTTATCAAGGCCCTTGTCTTTGTCGTCATCCAAATGATTGATGAATGCGATGAGAACTGTGTTGCCATCTCTATCATAATGATTCACATCCACACCCGATGCAATCAATCTCTCCACTGTTTCAAGACGTTTGGCCGTCACCGATTCAGCTTCATCTTTGCCGTGTTTGCGCTTGCTACCGCGGCGGGAAGCCTGGCCATTGACTAAATCCTCCACGTTAAGGATTGCTTCCGCGATGCAATGAAGGGCATTCCTGCCTTTGTCATCTTCAATGCTAGGATCATCGACAGCACTGGTCACAATCCTCAAAAGTTGTTCGTGATGTCTCGCGAATTGGTCTCCCTCGGGATTGTCCTCGATGAGGGGTGATAGGGCGAAAGTGCCGGCGCGCCGTGGAGGTAAGGAGTGATCGTTCTCCAGAATGTGGGCTTTGTTATCAAAAGCATCTCGTGGGAGCTGGAAGTCTAGTCCCGCTTCCTGTAGAACGGTGTGGAAGATGCTTTCATCTTTTACGTGATCATGCAATCGATGCAGGAACGTGCTGCCATATGGATCTCGAATTTTCACGACATCAACAAGCCTACCCTTCTGAGAACGGAGGAGAACTCGAAGTGGGGCAATGTGATTCTGCAGGCCCACAAACCATGCTGGCGAAAGCACTTGAAGGAAGGTCTGGTTTGCGGTATTTACCACAAATGGATCAGAGCATCTCGGAACGATACTAAGGAGCCGTTCTGGAGTGTGATCACAGGCTGCAAGGAGATGTAGCCGAGTATTGCCGAAGCAGTCCTGAGCACAAAGATCCATCTCCGTCATGTCTTTGGCAAGAAGCTCGCCTGCATTTACCGAAGAGAAGCCTTCAGCCTCATCTGCAATTGCGCACCAACAGAGCACGGAAGAATCACGGAGGTGTCTCTGGCAGCGGCAGATGCGTTGATATTGGCTAGCGATGAGAAAATCGCCAGGCAGGGCGAAAGCAGCCTCGGGCATTGTGCCAGCAGCATGCGAGCCACGAGGATGAAAATTGCCAGAAAACTTGCGGTTTCCGAACGGGATAGGATCTGCCAAGTCAGAAGAGCTCCGGACGGTAAGCTTCTTGACAAGCGCTGTGACTTGTTTCATGTATGATGCTGATACACCTGAGAGGCGATTTCGTATCAGGCGGCTGCTCTCTGTGCTCATGTCTGTCGAAGATGTGAAAACACGACTGTCTCTGGCGAACGGTTTCGGTGGCGCAGGAAGATCGTTTCCAAAAGTAAAGGGGTATCCGTTCATATTATCGAGCCCAGGATTTGGATGAAATAGAAAGGGATCCTCAGGGCGCGACGGCGCCTCAGGTTGAGCTGTCTGAGGTGAAGTGATGTTAAGCGTTTCGATATTATGGCCACCGAGACTGTCGGCTTCGCTCGAGGGATGGGATTCATGGACGCTCGGAGTGGCACTTGACATGTTGTAATCATCGTCAGGAGGCACTGCAGATGAGGGCTCCGTATCCTGCCCGCTCGGCCGGCGCCGGCGCCTACTGGACGATTTATGTAGCCAGCTAAAGCGTTTCTGCATTTCGGTGCGTGAGTCGGGTCGGAGACGTCGTGGATCATTGCCCAGCATCTTATGGAGGGTCTTCTGGGCCGAGTTTTTCCTTCGCGGGAGTCAGCAATTTCATCGCAGGTGCAAAGACCCTGACATTCCACGTACTTCACAGCATCTTCTTCGCCGAACAAGACCTTGATGATCTTCTCTAGTGGGAGCATAGTGTAGATATACAATCTCGCTAGTTTTCTAGACCGTTCGTCGGTCCATTGCGGAGGCCGGCCAATTCTGGCACCTTGATCTCCAGACTTGTTGGAGGCCGGAGTCGCCATTTTGCTGACAAGGCTCTGGATGTGGGCGTGGGCGTGGGCGTGCGGTCGGGACAGCAGTAGCTGAGAATGGGACAGGTCCACCAGGACAGCCCTGCTAACCCAGTCCCTTTAACTGATGGAGATGTTCAGACGAAAAGACAAAGTGAGGGCTCGATTGAGCGCGCGGGCACTGAGATGAGAAGAGTTCCATGTTTCTGGGGGAAGGGGGCGCAGGCGCTTCTTGAATGAAGAGCGCATGCGCGAGGCTACGGACTGCAGCGGATTGCCATGGTGTGTGGTGTGTGGTGTGTGGTGTGTGGTGCGCGACACTGGCGACCGACCTGTGAAGGAAGGATCCTCGGAGCTGAACCTCGAAAGGAGCAGTGGTGGGGTGCATTTGGGCCAGCTGGGCCCTAGCTTCTGAAACTAGCATCTTGTTATCGCAATACATGGCTGCAGGTGTGGCTTGAGAGATACTCGATCTGGCAATTCCAAGGATTCGAGACTCTTCAGATTCACTATGCAGTAGGATGAGGGTCCAAGCCACCGGTTCAGGGAGGGCCCAAGCCTCCCTCCCTCTCAGACGATAGTATCTTGATCGATCGTCAGTCAACATGAGAACTTTCATGAGATCTAGATATTCCTCTCAATGGAACGAGCATTGCCAAAGAATATAGGCATTGTCTCGGTACGGACTGGAAAATCGCCCATCAGAGGTAAGACCGAAGTCTTAGTCCAACGTTAACAGAGGAGCAAGTGTAATAAAGGCAATGCCCAGAGCCGTCAAGTGGAAAATTGCTTGCATATGCACCGCACCACCCACTGGAAGGGGCCTAAAGTAAGGCCTCCATTCCAGGGCTGTACTGAGAGAAACCTCTACCTAGCGAGCCTAGGTATGAGAAGCTCTGTCATCGTGCATCGCGAACCGCAGGCTACAGGCAGCAATGTCTCGACACCAGACCACCTAATGGCTACCCTATCATCACTCATTCGAGCAGGCGCCATATGGAAAAAAGGCACTGGGAAGCAGACAGAAGCAAGGATGCTTGCTCGTATTGGCTTTCGAGTGTGTTTTATCATGCTCGTGTTGTTTTTCCTTCTGCCATGTAGCCGCTATAGGCGCTGCCCACTGGTATTGGAACCATGTTCAGCCTGGAGGCCGTTGCGGGCGCTCTTGGCCACGAGGTCGTCTTACTCGGTGGATGACTAAGAGGTCCTTGGAAGGCCCGTTCCGTTGTTTACTGCATAGTAGGGACCTCGAGCCGTGTGATGACAGCAATGACAGCGGATATTCCCCGCCAGGTCACGCCCTGGCTGAGCCTGGGAGTGCATCCTGAGGCCCAAAGTGAGGCGCAGCGCTTGCCCTGCCCCGCGCTATGGCAGCCCTGTTTGGGCAAGAACAGCGGGTATCGGGGATGGAGCTCGAATCAGCGAAAGATAATATCGGCCTCGCATTGCCGTGAGTTTTTGCAAATGTCCGTAACTCTGGTTCTTGGCCCTGGATAACATCGTAGATGGGGATGCTTGTTTGTCGTTCATCACCGTTGCGGCTCTTCAAAGCCTCAGGGAAGCACCATCAAACTGTTAGTCAAGTTAAGTTACTCGTCAATCACGGCAATCACCCTGGGAGGAAGGCGGGACGCCGCCAACTGACATTGCGTCATTGGGTTATTGGCATGCTTGTCTTCCCCGGCCGAACGCTGCCATCCATCCCCACGCTCGCTCCCAATGAATGATATCATCATTCATGACCAATAGCATACCCATTCTTGGGTAGGCAAGTACCGTAAGTATCTGCGTATGTAATTGAAAGGCATATGGTCGTGTTAGAATTTCTACTTTGTGCCTTATACACATCACCATTTGCTTCTCTCAGTTGTCCACGAGTCTTTGACTGCTCCTCCCATACCCCCTAAGCACAACGTTCTCAACGAAGCCTGCGAAACTACTACCGAGCCAGTCCGACATCCTAGCTGCTCTCACGACATGCAACGTCTAAGCATCCGCCTACGGGCAGCTCACATTCGCGCCTCGCCAGTGACAATTACGCGGTCGTTACCCATAGCATACCAAGTACGCCGAAACTACTATCCCACAGCAGCAGCCCAAGCAAGCTCCGCTCCGAAAGAAGCAGAGGAGGCAAGCGCCGATTCGGGAGGCTCACGCTCCAAAGACGCCGCCGAGTCCGCATCCGCCTCCAGCTCCCAGGGTGATGCTGTACCCGTGGCGGATGTGCCCGACCAACTCGCTCACGGCGGAGCCAAGGGCGCTACTGGCGGTGGCGAGCCTCTGGAAAGCTCCAAGAACGCGCCCCCGCAACCAAAGATCACCAATGCGAGCATTCCCCAGGGTGGAGAGAAGCTCACAAAGGAGCAGCAAGAAGAGGTTGACGAGCACAACCGAGATTTCGAGGCGAAACACGACCGTGCGGCGCCGGCATCAGATGACAAGGTGGACAGCAAGTTTTGGAGTGGGAAGGGATCACAGAAATCGAAGGACTGAAGTCGACATCCATATAGGGATGCACTTTGTACAATTATGCCTGGGAAGGGGATGATGTCATCTGTACAGTAAGATCTTAACGAGCAATGGCTACAGAGTGAGGCTTTACATATCAAGCTTGGCGAATTGGTTTCTCTGCGCTGCTTGAGTTCCGGTTCAAATTGACGATACCACCGAGCCACTCTTCAGTTCGTGAGGCACGTACAGTCAAGTCAGGCCAAGACGGCTCAAAATTAGCCCGCTGACACCAACGATGGGCGGCGGCGAAGAGCTTCAACATCAAAATTTATCACTAGCAGATCCGAGACTTAATAATGTGAAATAAGATAAACTGTCCAAGATGATGCTCACAATCGCCAGGACGCTGCACAGCTGGTTTCGTCCAGCCATCGATGCCGTTTTCACTCGCAATCTCCCATTTACATATCGCTGGCGGCTCCTCCTTTTTCAGCCTCTCGCCTTCATTGTTAACTCGATCGGCGCCTTTCCTTACCTCTTCTCGCGCCCTTTCACGGTTGAATATCTACCTATCGCACCCGGTCGGGCCGTACGTACTTTGATTTTCAACAAAGCTGGACACGATCGTAGTGGCAAGCTCCGACCTCTTCATCTGAACATCCACGGCGGCGCTTTCCTGGGGGGTCTTCCTGAGAACAATGCCGGCTGGTGTGCTCGCATCGCACAGGAGACTGGGGCCGTCGTAGTCTCCACCGAATATCGCTATGCTCCAGCAAACCCGTTTCCCGCCGCTCACGACGATATTGACGCCGTGCTCGCCCATTTGAGACGGCATGGTTCTGAAAAGTATGGAGCAAACCCAGATCTTATCACTGTCAGCGGCGACAGCGCTGGCGGTAATCTAGCACTTGCAGCGGCCGCTTCAGTCCCAGGGGTTATCAAAGCCAGCGTGACGTTTTATGCATCCATCAATTTACAACTTAGTCCTCAGGAAAAGCCACGACCACCAAACTTCCCGAAAAGAGACCCGGCGCAGTTCCTGCTGCCGTTATATGACTCTTACCCTGGTCCCGTACGAGAGCGGGAGTTCAACAACCCTCGTATGAGTCCATATCTCGCGAAGCTCGAGGATCTTCCAGAAAATATCCTGCTTGTGGTCCCTGGAATCGACATTCTGGTCCATGAGCAACTCACCTTCGCAGAAAGGCTACGGTCTGAGATTGAGAGGGATTCTAAGTATGCTGGTAGACGTGTCGAGACATTGTACAATGAGAAAGCCTTCCATGGATACCTTCAAGGTCAGTGTCATTGCAATGTGAGGGATGATTCTGTTGACTGATCACATACGTCTTCATATATAGTACCGGATGTCATAGTCTCACCTAAGCTGAAGGATGAAGCGTTTAATGCTGGAATTAAATTTATTCAAGATGCTCATGAAAAGTACGGCTGGCAATGGCAATGAGCTTTCCCTAGATCTTATTCAATGTTTAGCAAGCGAATTGTGCGCCGGTACTCAAGTTTATGAAGTATCATTAACGTGTGGGACTATTGTAGGAGTATACTCTCCGCTCATTCTATGGACTATTTCCATAATACAAGGTTTTATTTAAAGAATGCCTTTCAATAAATGGGTGACTTCGTTGTTGTTATACCTAGGTATTTAGAAGCAGTCTACCTAGCGGGTCGGTAATGGAGGCCAGTGCCACGCACGAAATTAGCTTCTACAGGTGGGCCATCCACACTCTACAGTAGCGTGATAGACCCCACCAACCACCCGATAAGATAAGGCCTGGGATTTTTTTCTGTTCCTGGAGGAAAATTTCCAAGACTCCATTCTATACCGACAGCGCCCCGACTGCATTGACAGGCAAGATGGGGAAAAAACGAGTCGGCGCCCTCGAGAAGCTCGATGCGGATCTAGCAAGCCTCCAGTTCAAAATCCGTTCAGACCCGCGGTCCTACACGGAGGAATTTGTGCGCCAGTACGGGCAGTACGAGCGCTTGCGAGAGATCTTCCTGGATAGCCCGTCGAGTGTGACCGACGATGTCGCACGGTCGTTCCATGACATTGTGGACTTTGTCGCTCATGTTGCAGACTGCTACCCAGAGTTGACAAAGTCTTTCCCTGGCGACCTAAAGGAGATCCTCACCCGGCACCATGCGATCCTCGATCCCGACGTCAGAGAGAAGATCGTGGGCAGCCTGGTGCTGCTGCGGCGGAAGGACTTGATCGACTCAACCTATCTCTTGACGACGCTCTTTCCCATCCTGGTCTCGTCGCCTAGCAAAGGTCTTCGCGCTCTTCTATTTCAGAAGATTCTGAGTGACCTCAGGACGTCGAATTCGAAAGCGACAAACCACCCTTTGAACCGCACGATCCAAACTGTACTCTACAACCTCGTGACCTCCGACCGATCCTCGCCGAAAGCATTATGGGCTGTGAAGCTAACACGCGAGCTTTGGACTCGTCAGATATGGGTAGATGCAAAGCCCGTGGAAGTCATGAAAGAGGCTTCCTTAGCAGATAATGAGAAGGTCGTGGTTGGAGGTGTAAGGTTCTTCCTTGGTGGCGACAAAGAACGAGAAGAGCTAGAAGACGATAGCAGTGATGAGGAAGCCATCGATCTTAAGAAGGTCCGACATCAAATGGGCATCAACAAGAAGAGCAAAAAGAAGGAAAAGGCATACAAAGCGGCCGTGCAGAAGGTGAAGAAGACGGAGAAGAAAAAGAACCAGCCTCACCCGCTCAATTTCTCAGCCCTTCATCTTCTTCACGACCCTCAGGGATTCGCGGAGCAGCTTTTCCAGAAACATCTCCAGAATACCAAGTCGAAGCTGGCATTGGAGAATAAGCTGCTCGTCCTCCAGCTGGTGACTCGACTTGTCGGTCTGCACAAACTCACCGTCGTCTCGCTATACTCCTGGTTCAGCAAATACCTTACTCCGAGGCAACAATCCGTTACTTCTTTCCTTGCCTCTCTCGCTCAGGGAACACACAATCTGGTTCCACCCGATGCACTCGAGCCCCTTGTACTGAAAATCGCCAATGAGTTCGTCTCCGAAGGCTCAGCTTCGGAAGTTGCATCAGCAGGTCTCAACGCGATCCGAGAAATCTGCGTTCGCCAACCTCTTGCAATGACCGAGACACTGCTACAGGATCTAGTACAATATCGTAAGAGCAAGGACAAGGGTGTCATGATGGCGGCCAAAGGTCTGCTGTCCCTCTACCGTGAAGTGGGTGCAGATCTGCTGAAGAAGAGGGATCGCGGCAAGGAAGCAGCCATGGGCCTACGAAGTGGAGAGTTGAAGCAGATCAAGTTCGGCGAGCAAGAAGCTGGTGGAATTGAGGGCCTTGAGCTTCTAGCTAAATGGAAAGAAGAACAGAAAAAGAGGAAGCGTGAGGAGAAGGGACTGAAAGAGGGGGAGAATGTTAACGACTCAGACAATGATAGCTTCAACTCTAGCGACTGGGAAGTCGAATCAGTGGACAGCAGCGACTCTGGTGGCTGGATCGCTGTCTCCAGCGAGTCTGAAGATGACGAACCCGTCTCAAAACGCCCAAGGCAGGGATCGTCCGAAGCACCAGACCTGGTGGACGAGAACAAAGAGAATCTAGAAGAGGCAGCAAGGTTATCCAAGCTTGCCGAGACTACTATTCTCACGCCGGCTGATTTGGCCAAGCTCCAAGAACTCCGCATGGAAGCAAATCTAGACAAGGCGTTGGGCAATCGATCGAAGCGACAGAACGAGGCGCAAGCCCGGCATGCAGATGATCCGTTGACGGCTGAACAGATTGAGCTTCCTGCTAAGCTCAGGAAGCTCACGAAAGAGGAGCGCGTGGCCCTTGCAAAAGAAGGAAAGCCGAATCGCGAGGAGCATAAGTCCACACAAGCGATCAGAAAGTCTAAGAAGGATGCCGAGGGCAAATCTACGACGAATAAGGAGAAGGCTCGAAAGAAGAACTTTTTGATGACCATTGGCAAGGCGAAACGGAAGAACAAGAGAAGTCTTGTTGAGACCAAAAAGGTGTTACAGGGACATATTGAGAGGAGTAAGAACGGTGGCCGTAGACGGAATAAGGGTTAAGGATCTTGTATCAGTGTAATCATGCATCGCATATAGAAGTCGCTTAAAGGAGCATCTGTAGTGCATCAAAGATACCAAAAGTCGTTTATTTGAAAGTCAAGCGTTGTACTTTGGAACAGAGATGTGAAGAGAATCGAGTCATGAACATCTTGAGGAGAAACCTCTAGTTTGCTGGTGTTGTGTCATTAGCCGATCACCAGGCCCTTTACGTGCCAAACTCCCAGCGCAGACCACCTAGAAACCTCACCACACGTCCCCTAACTGCTTACAAATGCACATCAACATCCACTTACACCAACTCTATTACTTACGATTTCTTGCAATGCATTATCGAATGACTGACTAGGTAGAGGTCCAATAGCTGAGCTTGATACAGTTGGCAGCCTCCCACAGCTCTGGAAGATGCCTGTCACTCCGCGCCAAAAAGCCTGCATTGCCTGCGCAGAATCCAAGCGCAGATGCGACAAGCAGCTTCCCGAATGTCAACGCTGCTTGGATAGAGACGTGGACTGCGCTTATCCGCAACCCAGGAAGAGACGTCGCAGAGATTTGAGTAGTACGCCACGCGACGCTCAAACCGAGAGGCTCTCAACAGTTCCTCTCCAACCCTTTTCGGATACCAATGGTTTGGGAAGTGTTCTGGATCTTGGGGACTGGGGCACCATGGACACTGCCGACTTTGATGCTTCTCTATCAGATATGATGATCCCGTTCATGCCCGCCACATCAGCGTCTATCAACTACGTTTCATCTCAGGTGTCCGTGCCTGAACGCGGGAGGATTGCAAGCCCTTCGTCGTGTCCTTGGTTCCTTAAGGATGATACTTGGGTTATGGATCATACAGACCAAGAGCCTAGCTGCCAGACATCGGTTGAGCTTGAGCCTTTTGTCCGCGCCGTGGATGAAATGCTACAATGTTGGGTCAGGAATGGCCATTGTACCTTCATTCATGGACGATTATATGAGAAGGGCATGCTTTCATGTCTGCAAGATGCCTTCACGACCTTTTCTGCCTATACTCATCGGACACCAGCCGTGAGGAAGACCATCCTACAGATTGCCGAAGAGCGCTCTTGCGCACTGGCTCTTCAACCGCCACCTACCGCTGGCGGTGCTCAAGGCTTACTAGCTCACTTGGCGCGTGTCCAGGCCTTGTTTGTATATGAGTTTATTCGACTATTTGATGGCTCGGTACGTCTACGAGCATCTGCTGAGCAGCAGATTCCAACGCTGCGGCGATGGGTCCTCCAGATGTGGGAGGCAGCGAGGCAATACCCAAGAGAAGTCGGATTTCTGGGCCAAGGCTCACTTCGGTGGACTGCAAGCGAATTCGATAGAGAGTATGATATTGCCTCGGAGATGTGGCAGTCGTGGATTCTGACAGAATGTGTTCGGCGTACCCAACTTATCGTCGATACGATAGCCAATATATACCAGATCATGACCAAAGGATGGGCCGACTGCGCTGGAGGCGTCATGTTTACGACACGTCGTGGCCTTTGGGAAGCGGAGTCTGCGGTGCAGTGGTTTGAAATGTGTAACGAAAAGCCCCCTCTTCTGGTTCCATCTTTGCAGCCTGGACTGGTAATGGCTCAGTATGCGGCTGAGGAAATTGATGATTTCGTGAAGCTGTTCTGGACCTACATAGTAGGCACGGACAAGGTCCAATGCTGGATCGACAAGAGCAACAAAAAGTATACTACCTCATCCTTATTTAAATCAATCTTGCAGACTGAGTCTAAAAGCTAACAACAGCACAGAAAACTTGTGAGCTCATCCACAGGGTAGAGTCACAGCTGCCAATGTTTCCAGTGAAGGGAACTATATTAGAATCCTGTCCAAATCTTGTGTAGAATAACAGGCCAATTCAAATGTCATATGATCCCCATTATATCCTAAAATATCTTCAGACCACACTATGGACATTTACATCCAATGAATACGAACGTTGGGTTCTCGGGTTGTTCTAAGCCGCCGATTTAGCAACATCATCTGAAGCTGGCGCATGAGTAGGGAGTCTGCTCTATGAGATGAAGGCCGTACTCAAGAATGCGATCCCAGCCATAGCAATTGCAATCGCAAAGACTGCCTTAAGGCCATGCATGTATGCAAGAAGAATGCCAGGAAGTTCTTCCGGGGTGAAGACGTCTCGCAACTGTGCAGCTCCCGTGCCGATCACCTGGGCAGGGTTTATCGTGGATGCGGTTGAGGGAAGCTTCGCGAGCAGTTGGTTGACAAAGGCCGCCCGTCCTGCCGAGGTACTGAAGGCGCCTCCTACAGTCTGGAAGACTACTCGCGCTTTCATTAGCTTGAAGCTGCCTATCGGGAAGACAGGGCAATTTTGTACATACAATACATATTAGCCACGACAGCGGCGATATCCTCCGGGCCTACATTGGCCTGAGCAATATTTAGAGCGTTTTGTATAGAGAAGGCAACGGCAGAGCCAACTACAATCTGGTAGCCGATCTATTTGGCAGTCGATGTATCGAGGTCGAGAGTGTACAATAAGCCAATGCCAATTGTCGCAACTGCCGCACCAGCGAACATGGTTGGTGTTGCATGGCCAGTCTTAGCAACAAATAGGCCACCAACCAGGGCAAAGATGCTGACAGATATCACCATTGGTAGGTTTTCGATACCGGACTCGATAGGATCTGCGCCGCGAATGCTTTGAAAGTAAATGGGAAGGTAATAGAGAAGTAGTACCATGACGCAACGTAGAAGCATTGATAGGGAGCAACACTCCATAACGCCCGCTTCTTGAACAATCTTGGAATCAGCATAGCATAGTCGTCCAAGTAGATTGCCCAGGGAAAACGCAATGCAGATAGCGCCAAATCCGACATGGAGGCCGATGACTTCGCTATTATTCCAGGGCAGGCTACTTCCTGCAAACTGGAGGCCGCGAATGAAGCAAATAATAGCTGCCATGGCCAGTGCAATACCGACCGGATCCAATTGCAATAGCTTTTCCTTGAGGGTTACTTTGGGGGGCTGAGCTGCGCTTGGCAGATGGAAGAAAATGAAGATGACTATTATCATAACACCGCCAATTGGCAAGTTGAGATAGAAGCACCAACGCCAAGTGACTTTTTCTGTGAAAGCACCGCCGACTAACGGCCCCAGGACAGAGGCGAGGCCATATGTCAGGCCAATGAAGCCCAATAAGATGGGCCTAGTCTTCGGTTCGGCACTAAAGGCCACGATGCTTGTGCCTCCAACCGATATGCCGGCACCCCCTATTCCAGCTATCACGCGCCCCACGATTATGCTTTAGAATTCGGCGCGACACCGCAGACCAGACTACCTATCTCAAAAATGAAGACTGCGAGAATGAATGTATACTTCAGGTCGAAGTACTTGAATGCTTTGCCCCAGGCGGCTTCGAGCCCGTCGAATGTCATGAAGTAGGCTACGCCATACCATGACACATCGTAAAAGCCGCCAAATTCGTCTGTAATTTTGGGTATCGCTGTCCCTGAGATCGTCTGAGCGATTCACTGGGTCAGTTCTATTGAATTTATAGTTTCAAGAATATACATATAGATGCTTACTGGGTCCAAAGAAATCAAGAAAACGCCCATGATTGAAGAACCGGCGAGGAGGTAAAATCGCAGACCATGAGGGTATCCATCCGCGGTCGCTGCTTCATCGCTATTAGAGCCTTTGTCTGGCGTCCTTGGCACTCCGTCACTATTCGAGTTAGAGGGTTCCGATAAGACGGTTTCGCCTTCGAGAGGTCTGGACGTCGCTTTTGCCAGGCCCATCTTTCTGGCACTGCTAATGCGGTAGATACTCAACGTCTGCGAAATCGAAGATGTATCAAAATAAAACAGAGAGTAAGAGATAATCTGGGAGAGTGAAATAATCACAATAAGAGGTTTAAAATGACAATGCTTGTTCTGTTGTTGCAGGTTACTCGTGCCCGAGTTCCTTGCTAACTAAAGAGCACTTTTAAGCCGTCAAATGACCAGATATACGGTCAGGGATCGGAATTTGGGGCTGACAAATTGATTAATCTCGGTTCAAATTACTTTCCGAATGAAGAGTCAAGAGGAAAAGAGCTTCGGTCAGGAGAGTGACTTATTCGGCGGGCAACATGCAGCCAAATCTACGGGAATGTTGCGGGGAGTTTGCGGAACTCGACAACCAGCGGAACTTACATTTTCTAAGACTCCACAAGGCCGGTTTTCTAAATTAAGGAGCCAGCATATACTGTGCTGGAGATCCTTACTAGGAAGGATTGCCAAATGGTGGCATTTTTATTGTATCTGTGATATGTGTTCTATACTTTCAAGACCAAACTCTCATGTCCATAATGTTGCAGTCAACCTGTCAACTCCATAACTTATAAGCAAGGTGGATAATCAGATGTCCGCTAAATGAACTCCTCAAAGTTCCGTCAGCAACGGTCCTAGAATTTCCATATCCTTGCTGCTGTTGATAAGCCCTCCTTTCGGTGATGATATAGTGCCAGAAAACACAATGCAAAACATGAGGTCCATCATGACCTTGAAAGCTTGAAAGCAACTCCAATGAAGTCGCACGGCATGAGAAGGATGTTGTTGCTGCTGAAACGAACGGATATCCCCAAAGTCTCTGACTTGATGTTTTGGCCTTCGTATATGTCATGTCTCGTGAGACACATACATGTAATATGAATATAGCTGAGCAATCCAAGTTCGATGTTGATGAAGCGATCTGGTAAGTAGTATGCCTAGAACGTGTCTCATTCTCAAAAATTGACCCATATTTGGCACTACTCCGTGGAGGGGTGGGTGTTGTGGAGATCGGAGTCTGATTGACTGATATCGGTGGGGTGTCATCAAATCGCTCTGGCTTGACAAATGTCATCGATAACAGCATCTCCGTACCCACCAAGATAAAAGAAATCAATCTGCATACCGCGCTTCAGCCAAACGCACAACCTCGACCTTCGCGATCAGTTCGGAATGTCTATCACAAGTGAAGAAGCTGCAAATAGGCTGAAGGCCAGG